ATATATATATATATATATATATATATATATATATATATATATATATATATATGTAATAGGGGAACGTTTGTTTATGTTTGTGTGTGTTTAAAGGCAATTTGAAGAAAATTATTTCACGAAAATCGACATTAGCGAAACAAAACGGGATTTAAAACCTTAAGATGCTGACCAGTTGAATTTCACTACAGAAATTAGATTTTATTTAATTTCATTTCAGTTTCTATTTTTTATTTTTATAAGTTTTTTTTTTTTTTTTTTTTTTTTTGCAAGCGACGGTGTTTCCTCTCTTAATAACCCACGATGAGCTGTTTCAGTTTATCGCCTCTTCTTGCCTAATAAGTACCAAAAAATTATGTGGGATGCGAAAAACTTACAATAATAAATGAATAAATCAATGAATAATAAAAATTGATTGGAAATTTGTTAAAAAATCTAATTTCTCTCACGATACAGTTGATGCGAAAAAAAAAAATGTGGCTTTATCCGCTGGGTGTGAATCTCGTGTTGTCTCGCCTGTATAACTGGTGGTTCGAAAGTCTTGTCACCACCTACTAAAGGGTAATGCGAACAATAAAAGAACAAGTAATACAGTAATACAAAGCCCATGTACTGGATTCAGTTTATTCACTTTCATTGGCACTGTCACACATCGAGAAGGTCTGTATGAGCACCATCATTTTTGTATTGGAGCTCGTGTCAGCCATCTGAAAAAGAAAAGTACATTATGAAGGGGTGACAATACTTTCGGACCACCCTGTAGATTTTGTCGATCGATTTGTCTTTTATCGATGTGGCGGGTACATAAATAGATGCAAATTTTCTAAATTGTCCCTCACACACACACAGACATATATATATATATATATTCATTCTATTGGTCTGTATAGTGCCTTGATTTGATTGTATTTTTTGTTTCATTGCACCTGACTATATCATTTCATTTCACAAGGATGATTTCTGTAAAGCAGCCGAAAAAAGAATCTGCGTTTTAGAATTAGATCATTGTGATTAATTTAACTTGCTTTTTTAACACAGTCCTTTGACCGTATTCCGGATTAGGTAAGTAGTGATTTTTCTATTTCTGTTTCTAAAAAAAAAATTATAAGCAATCTCAGAATGTAACGAATGCTTTCTTTTCTTAACGCTGTAAAAGGGGAACCATTCTAATTCCGATAAAGATTTTTCTTTTTTTTACCTTTTTTTTTTGCCTTTTTTTTTTTTTTTGCTTTGAAAGGCAGGTACCAACTGCTGTTGTTACAACCTAGAGACAAACGTTCACGTGATCTTCTCTGATTTTCCTGGAATTTTCAACGAACTATACTGTGTACAGATATAAATATCTGCTTCTTTTGTAATTTGAAGACTGCTTCATTCGTGAAGCACCGAATCATTTTTACCACCCTCAAATTCGTTCACACAAAACGGAAATGTTGATTTTTTTTTTTCCGAAAACATGAATTTAAAAAATGGCCAAAATATTCGCATGACTACAATGCTTCTGCGAATATGAGAGACATTATAGAGAAGTTGGTTAAAATGCCCTATTGGCCAAAGAAGAGCGGCATCCGCGACAATATTGTAATTTTCATAATTTAAATGTTGGATTTCGTAACGGCTTCTCATAAGACATCAGTTAAAAAATTTGCTATACGTTGATATGGTTATACTTATATTTTCTTAGGTGCTCTGAAACACTATTTTCTTAACCCGAACTTTTTCAACAAGTCTGAATTATATCTTTGTATTACTAGATTTGCGAAAAACGGCACCGTACTTACATACTCAGCAATCAATCTCTCTCTCTCTCTCTCTCTCTCTCTCTCTCTCTCTCTCCACACTATTATATACCGTACCTATGAACACTAATGGATATGTCCAAATCCTCAAAAAATACGTTGCATACTATTGTAAGTGGGGGTCATATGCTAAGTAGTCCAGCAGTAGCAGTGGTTTACCTAGTTCACGACGCTGGCGAGCAATTTATTTTGTTGATGCTATAAAGATTAACATTTCCATTTCCACCCTCTGTTTTGGCTATTCCTCATTCAATAACCTTTCCAAGGTTACAACACACACAGATTGAGGAACCGGAAAGCCGAGTTCGAATTCCATTCGAATCCATTACATACCCTTGGGAAAGTTATGAATCCTCTCCTCCCCCCCCACCAGCTATGAATAAATAGCAGGACAGATGGCAACTAGTCTATCGCAGAAAGAAATGGCAACCTAATTCGGATAAAAAATCTGCCTCGTCAGTGACAAAAGATGAATCTATCAAGTATGGTACATATATATATATATATATATATATATATATATATATATATATATATGTGTGTGTGTGTGTGTGTGTGTGTGTTGTGTGTGTGTGTGTGTGTGTGTGTGTGTGTGTGTTCGAACATCAAAGTCTTTTACATACATAATACATAATGATGAGCTTTCCTCTTTGGTACCTAGATTATATGAATTTAAGCGTAATTAAATTGGCCGTAAAGTCTCATCATTTTATAGCTTAAATGTCTAGACGTAACCTTATGTTCTATGCTAACAATTAATTCTATCGCATTCAAAAAAAATCTCTTGTTCTTGTCATCAGATATAATTCTTTCAATCTTGACTCCAAAACATCCCTAAAAGCCTGATATGTCGAAGCAGCTTGGGACCTTTTCTAAATTATTTCCTACAGCTGCACTAAAATGGTTTAGTTTTATTGTGAGATGCCGTTTTGCTTCCTTTCACTACTGCGATTAAATTTACTATTTGAAATGAAGTCTTGCAGATACCAAGTACAAGATTAAACGCACAGTGGACTTGGACCAAGCGGAAATTTGTAATTTTTGAGCCCCCAAATGATTTCCAGCTTAGTTTTAGAAATGTATAAATATTATTTTTATTAAGAAGATTAAAAGAAAAAACGGAGGTTTCTGTTTTTTAAAAAATGAGGGTTTATGATTAGAAATCTTGGCCTGCAGTGAAAAGTCAAAATTCCTGAAAAGATATTAAATTTCATATTTAACTCATTTAAACTTCCTTTTCATTTCTTACTTTTTTTTTTTTTTTTTTTTTTCAAAATTGTAGTGGTGATTATTAGACCCGCTGAATATTGTGCTTAACCAAAACCTGCTGCACAAGATTCTTGCGTTCCAATTTTCTCGCTCGAAACTGTGTTTCATATTTACAACTCTATCATTCGTCAATGCCTAAGATATTGCTACCACATCTGGTCCCGGGCTCCTACTGTATATTTAGAGATCCCTGATAAAATTGAAAGAAGAATCTGCAATGTTATTGGTTCAGGCATGGCATCTCGGCTTCAGTCACTTTCCCACTCCCGTAATGTAGCTTTCCTGTACCATTTTTATAAATACTTTTACGATGATTGTTCTCATAAACATTCCTCTATGAACAGTACTAATTTGGCGCCAACGTTTCATCATTTTACAGTTGAAATGGCTAGACGCAACCGTAAGTTCTATGTTAACAGTTTCTTCTATCGTCTTTTCCCTTGTGGAATTCTCTACCAGCTACTTGCTTCTCAATCAACTTTGATCGTCAAGAAGTTAAATGCAATGTTAATCGTTATCTTCTGTCTTCATTCTTGTTCTTTTATTGATCTCTCTCTTTGATAATCTTTTCTTTTTCTCCTATTCTCTCACGCTCTGTAACCCCTTGCGTTTTAGTGGCTTTATTGCCTTGCTTGGTGTTGAAAAGATTAACAAGAAAAAACATAAACTAATCAATACACATAGTGTTGGTGCAAAGTCCAACCCTTACCTCACAGTTGGTGGGGGGGTAAACGGTAGTGTCAGAGCTATGCCGCCCGGAACTTCGTTCTTGGTAGTGCCACCCAAGGCGGACAGGTCTGACACACACGCCGGCTAACAAGGGCTCTGGTGAAAATTCAAGGAGCGTCTGCATCGGTAACCGGCGGCTTCTGGTCGTTCCTGTCTCTGCGTCTGTGGGAATCCCGCGGCAAGCAAGAACGTTATCCGAGTAGGCCTGGGTACCCTACTTCTGTAATTTATCCCAAGAATCTTCTTCTCATAACAGGAAGAAGCCGGCTCAATCCGCCCAGGGTGAATGCCGCATCAGTACAGTACAGTGTTGGTGCATTCTTAAATTAATGGAATCGTTATTTTATTTCGATATATTTTGATGTCTTTTATTGTAGATTTCGATGTCGCAATAATGTTTTTACAATCTTTTACTCTTCAAGCCCAGAACATGATTCACGGAGTAAATTTTCTTTCAGACGCAATCAAGATTTGTGTGTTAAAACCCAACCTATTTATTGGCACTATTCTTAAAAGAATCTTTCCCTGTCGACGTGTCTTAAACTATGCCGACTGATTACCCAATACAGAGGAGTAAAACTCCCTCAAAGAGACCCACCTTTTGTAGGGATACTTGCAAACTCGAATATAAACCCGACCCGTGTCTACCATTTTAAAACTAGCGTAAACTGTATCTACCTAAATCATTTGATTTTTGACCTGTAAAATCTATATTTCACATTAAATAACTCAACAAAACTTGATATGTCGTTAAATTAAATTATATTGAACTAAATTAGTTGAATGGTAGACAAAAAATTTACTATAATCCTCTTCAATACCTGAGCAATTATAATTCACAAAATAACTTGTGTTTAGAAATAAGAAAGAAATCTTTAAAAACGACGATCCTATGATTTTGAATGACGTATAAACCGGACCTATGCCTTCTTTTCTATTAATTCATTGTAACTATTGTCCTATATGTTTTCTATTCGACTTTACATAACTCAACAAGGGTTGATAAAACATTAAATATAACCAAACTAACTTGACCTTCTCTGTATAGTCTTTTAAACTCCACAGACCCGTAAAACACTTCACTTAACAGATTCTCCCTAATCATTTTGACACAAGAGTAAATCGGACTGACGGCTACTTTTTTATTAACTCTAGTGTAAATTGGACGTCCATCGTAAACAGGACGGATATCTACCTCTCTATTACGCTGAAACGTCGGATTCCATATGATCCCCGAAGTTAAGCAACGTCGACCATAGTCAGTACCTAGAGGGGTGACCGCTTGGGAAAATCAGGTACTGTAAATTGTTAATCCGAGTGCTAAGCTACAATTCCAGTTCGGTTTGTTATATTCACTTTAAATTAATTATGTCCCCCAGCTATGGGTTAATTAGTAAGACTTGTATCCCTAAGCCATTATCATCTCCAAAAATAAAATAGAAATATTTATATTTGGGCGTTAAATAACTCATAGAAACTGATATGCCGCTAAATAAAGAAACCAACCAATTACTTCTCTATTGATTCACTGTGATTTTTGTCCTGTAAGATATATTCGATATGACTCAACAAGGAATGACATACTGTTAAATTAACTTAACTTAATAGAATCATATAAATTAAAGGCAAAAAAGTCCTATCAACGTTTTCGCAGAGATTCTTTCAATCGATGTGAGCAAATATACCGTGCTGTTCGATAAAAGTGACTCACCTGGTTTTTTGCCTATTGTTTTTGGGGTCAAACTAATTTTTAATCTTTCTAATATAAAGACACCTTCCCGACCACCTAGTAAAAAAGTTTACTCACCCTAAGGTATTCTATTTATAATTATAATTTTGGATATAAATGAGATTTAGGGAAAAACTCTGTGCAAAAAAAGTGACTCACTTATTTCCTAAAACTAGTAATCAATAGAAACATAACCAAACAGCTTTAAATAAAGAATAATAGAGGTATAATTTATTTATAATAGGTAATATAGTTCGAAATACTAAATAATCTATGGGTCCTCCTTTATTTTGAATAACCTTTTCAACCCTTTTTGGCATTGACATGATTAGATTCTGGCAAATCTCATCTCCAATCATTGAATTCCATTCGGATATGAAATTCACAATCAAATCCTTTGTTGCTGAACTGCCTTCTCGAGGGCCTGTACTTTATAATGCTCCATAAGTTTTCTATTGGGTTGAGGTCAGGAGATTGGGGCGGCGATGTCATAACACTCACCTGCTTCTCATCAAAGTATTCCTTCATCAATTTTGATTTGTGACAGGGAGCATTATCCTGCATAAAAATGAACTTGGTGGGGTTGATTTGTACCCTTTCAGCAGAAGGGAGCAGACAAGACTCTAAAATTCTCTTGTACTGCTCGTTCCTGAGGGTCTTTTCAATAGGTTTTAAGAAACCAATTCCATGAAAAGAAAAGCATCCCCAGAACATTATACTGAATGGATGCTTTACAGTACTTACTGCTAAATTCAAAGAGCTTTCAAAGCTCCTTCTTCGGATTTTAGATCGCGTATCCTTTGAGTTTAGCTCAACTTTCGTTTCATCGGAGAAGAGAACATTTAGTAAAAAAAATCAGGTGAGTCGCTTTTATTGAACAGCACTGTAATTAAGATTCATTTCACCTTAGATGACGCAATACTAGCAAGGATTGCACATTGAAACGCAGATATTGTACTAGAAAATAAGAAGAAAAATCTTTGAGAAAGTAAGGTCCTTTAAAACAAAATTATTTAAACAAAAACAATTATTAAGGCTTTTCAATATTCATTATTCTCAACAAAATGTTCATCGTTATTACCATCAGTCCTATGATTGGTTTTGTTCGTAAAATTGCTGCAAAACTGAGTACGGCGAGTTCTCACCACTTTGCTGGGTTTCAAAACAGAGAGGTATTCATGTTCAGGGTGTCCTGCGCAGGTAGACCTGGCCTTGCCTATCTGTCTCCTGCTCAAACCAGGTTTTGTTTTAATCCTGCTGCGTGTCTACCAACCCTCCTCAACTCAGTTTAGTCACCGATAACGCGACCACGGAGACACGGTGGAGTAATAGATCACGGCTCGAATTCCAGTCAAGTTGATTACATTCACTAGACGGGCTAATACCTTGGAAAAGGTATTAATCTATCTCCCCACTCCATCTATGGGTAAATAAAAAGACAGACAGGGTTCTATAGCCTTGGTTGGAAACCGCTCTAGGAGAAGGAAAACTCTGAATTCAAACCAGCCTGCAAATGGTTAACCTAGCTTAATAGAATCATATAAAAAAGATAAAAAAATCGTATCAACATTTCCCCAAAGATTCTTTCAATCGACTAAGCAAATATAGTTGCGATTTATTTCACCTTTGATGCAATACTCGCAAGGGTTGCACATTTAAACGCAGATATTGTACTAGGAAATAAGAAAAAAATCTTTGAGAATGTAAGATCCTTAAAATATTCGTTAGGTTGCTGAGAAATTGAGTAGGAGTTCTTTCCACTTATCAGGGTTTGAAACCAGGGAGGTATTCATATTCAGGGTGTCCTGGGCCGGTATACCTAGCGTAGCATATATGTCTCCTGGTCACAGGCACGTAGCCGTTGTTTTCATAAGAGAACACTACGTTGGCCTCATTCTCAGTAGATCTGCACCCATATGATGCGAAAATTCGCATAGCTAAAGCCTGGGCCGTTCGGAATAAAATGAATGTAATCTG